AGGAGGAGATTGGATTTATACCCTGCCCTTCACTTGGAGTCTCAGAGCAGCTTACAAACTCCTTTCCCTTCCCCTCCCCACAACAGACACCCTGTGAGGTGGGTGGGGCTGAGAGAACTCTGACACAAACTGCTCTTTTTCAAGGACAACTGTGCCAGAGCTTGTGACTGACCCTAGGTCACATCAGCAGGTGCAAGTGGAGGAGTGGGGAATCAAACCCGGTTCTCCCAGATTAGAGTCCGCGCACTTAACCATGACACCAAACTGAGAAAGGTGGCTACCACGCTGGCCGTCCTTTGCCCACCTATTTCCCCCAGTTACTTATGGACATTTTCAAGCGGAGGCTGGACGACCATCTTTTGGGTATGTTGCCGGGCTCTCTTTCGGCTGTGCTCCTGCAGAGTGTGGGAGGTTGGACTAGATGACCTGCAAGGTCCCAGTTCCAACTCTTAACGTTCTATGATTCTGTGATTTTATGCCTTGTAGGGAGATGTCCTTCCTTCGGCCTGCACTGAATCAGCTGCCAGTTGAGACCAGATCAGGATGGGTCGCTGTGTGAGTCTGTCCGTAGCGGTAGAAAAGAGCAAGAGCACCTTAAGGACTCACCTTAAGGACTCACAACACCTTAAGAGCACCTTAAGGACTCACAACATTTGTGGCAGGGGATGAGCTTTTGTGAGTCACTGCGCAGTGACTCACGAAAGATCCCCTGCCACAAATTTTCTACAGCTGCCAGTTGATTCAAGCAAGTGCCTCCCCCCCCAACTACTAGCATCTTCTGCTAGTTTCAAAGTCTGAAGATCTCTTGACCAGTGTTGCTAGTTCAGGGCTTTTTAGGGGTGGGGCTGTGACGACCTCTTACTTGGAGAGGTCTGGTTTGCCTTTAAAATGTTCTTTATGTTTTATTCTTAGGGTTTTCGGGCTGCCACCAGGGAAATCTAGGTTTTCCCAAACCTTTTCCTATAATATTTTCCACAGGGTAGGTGTACCTTGGGTCTTAGGCATTCGTGGTACTATGTGGTCCCAGGAATAATTCTTTACTTAGCTGGTAAACTTGAAGTAAATAGGATTTATTTAACAAAGGTATAAACACGAGGGTGAACAAGGTAAACAGTTCTGGGAATGATTTGATCATATGCTTGCATTCATTAGTGTTGTCGGGTCCTCCCTGGGGGGGGGGGTGTCGAGTTGCCAGGTTGGGGGACTCCTGGAGATTTGGGTGGTGGTAGAGGACAGGGACCTCAGTGGGGTACAGAGTCCTAGACTCCACCCTCTAAAGCATCCCCTTTCCTCCAGGGGAACTGATCTCCGTAGTCTCAAGCTGAGCTGTCATCAGTGTTCCCTCTAAGCTGAGTTAGTGTGAGCCAGCCCACAGATTTTTAGCCTCCGGCTCACACATTTCTGTCTTCGCTCAGGAAGGAGGGCTCCCAGAGCAAACTAACTTACGCAGTCGCCAAATCGCTCGCTCACCGCTTTAATGCCAGGCAGTGTTCCCTGTAAGCCGAGTTAGTGTGAGCTAGCTCACAGTTTTTTAGCCTCTGGCTCACAGATTTTTGTCTTAGCCCAGGAAGGGAGGGCTCCGGAGCAAACTAGTTTACACAGTAGCCAAATCACCTGCTCACAGCTTTAATGCCAGTCGCTCACAAAGTAGAATTTTTGCTCAACGAACTCCAGAGCTTAGAGGGAACATTGATGGCCAGGAGCTCACAAGGTAGAATTTTTGCTCACAGGACTCTACACTTATTTTAATTTTTTTTTTTCAGATGTTTACCCCGCCCTCCCAGCCGAAGCTGGCTCAGGGCGACTCACATAAAAACGGATAATGACATTAAAACATAGTTGTGGTTAAAACAATGTAAAATCATAATGAAGTGCTCGTGGTTCTTAATAATCATGCAGCGGTGCTTCGAGGGAGCACCGGCTGCCATTCCGGGGGATCCCCAGGTCCCACCTGGAGGGTGGCATCCCTACAGTCAGGAGCACAAACAACAAACAAGGAGAGACCCCCACGATCAATGTTCCCTCTAAGCTGTGGAGTCTTGTGAGCAAAAATTCTACTTTGTGAGCCACGGGCATTAAAGTTGTGAGCGAGCGATTGGGCTGCTGCATAAATTAGTTTGCTTGGGGCCCTCCTTCCTGAGCTAAGACAAAAAGGGGTGAGCCGGAGACTAAAGAACTAAATTAGTTTGCTCGGGGCCCTCCTTCCTGAGCTAAGACAAAAAGGGGTGAGCCGGAGACTAAAGAACTGTGAGCTAGCTCACACTCACTCAGCTTAGAGGGAACAGTGCCCAAGATTCTCTTCGGGTCACCTGCGAAGATCCCTTGGCTGTATTAGAAAGAACCGTTTAAGCCCCTGCTCTTCTTCCCGGTCTAACCCAAAAGCAAGGTTGTCTTACCTCTGAATCCCTTGCTTCGTTTTGTCCCTCCTCGTTGACTTCTCGTGAGCTTCTGTCGGCCACAGGAACCCTCAAGAGATTGAGTTAAAGCCAGGGAGTTTCTGGATCCTCTTCCCCGTGCTGGGAAAGAGAGAGCCCGAGATAGGGCAGCCAGGTGAGAACTGAACACCTGGTGCCGGTGGCGTTCCCACCCTCGGTGCTGTGGGCGTGTGACTTCCGCTCCTCCAAGTCCCAATTTCTCCATCTGAGGCGTGTTCGTGAAGAGGCAGCCGGCGTTTGCGGAGGGGATAATTAAATGCCATTGCAGGGAGTTCCACGCCCCATCCTACCCTACTTGTTTTCACGCCATCCCTTTGCCCAAAACAAAAGCTTGTGACTCCTGAGCGAAAAGCCGGGTCAAAAGACTCTTGGTTTCTAAGGCGCTTGAGGAGCTCTAGTGACCTGCCTTGGAAATTCTCTGTTGCTTGGCCCCATTTACAGGCGCTTTTCAGATGATTAAGCGTAGAGTCCTTGATATTGAAACACAAAGGCTTTACAGCTCAGCCAACAAATCTTGTTCCCCCTGCCCCAAACTTTGAGTCGCCTCTTACGGTAGACCCCCGCCCCAAGCACCAAGAAGACAGAGCATCCCTTGCCCCAGACCGAGAGTTCCCATCTATACCTTGTGGCTAATAGCCACTGATGAACCTCTGCTCCATACGTTTATCCAATTCCCTCTTGAAGTTGTCCATGCTTGTAGCCGCCTCCTCCTGTGGCAGTGAATTCCATGTGTTAATCATTCTTTGGGTGAAGGACTTCCTTTTATCTGTTCTAACCCGACCGCTCAGCAATTTCATGGAGTGCCCACGAGTTCTTGTATTGTGAAAAAGGGAGAAGAGTACTTCTTTCTCTACCTGCTCTGTCCCAATGCATAATCTTGTAAACCTCGATCATGGCACCCCTCAGCCATCGTTTCTCCAAGCTAAAGAGCCCCAAGCGCTTTAACCCTTTCTTCATAGGGAAAGTGTTCCAACCCTCTTATCTTTCTAGTTGCCCTTTTCTGCACTTTTTCCAATGCTAGATGGGCCGTTTGCTGATCCAAGATGGCTTCTCTTATGTCCTTATGTTCCTCCAGCGTGAAAGCATTGAGAAAACTAACAATTTGTCTGGGGGGGGGGGAATGGTAATAAACTTTGGCAAACCTGTTCTTAACCTAGCAAAAGTGTCCACAGACTGGAGCCCTTGGGGGGAATAAGAAACCAGTTCACCTGGAAGTGGCCAAGGCCTCCTGTTCCGATCTGCTCCTCATTTACACCTCTGGATTCTCATTTGCAGTCGCTGCAAAACTTTTAGTTAGAGGTAGAGCGTGAGTCCCTCCTTTCTGCTGTCCAAAGGCAGCCTCTGCTGGCGGCGGGAGGAAACGCACCCGGATCTCTTTTTAAATAAAAAGACTCTTTAAGAAGCCCCAAGACTTTGGACCGAGGTTCTCCTTGGCTGGATTCAGGGGTCATTTCCTGCGGGAGCGCACAGGAGCGGAGCTCCGGCAGTAAGGAGCCCAGGGGGGTGGGCCCATGCAACAAGCCCCGCCCTGTGCTCTCAGCAGCCCTCAGTCGGGCCAGGAGGCGCAGGAAGAAGCAGCCAGGGGAGACGCAGAGCCCCCCCTCCCGGCCCGCCTTCAGGCACAAGCTCTCCCTCCTCTATGAGGGCAGATCTCTGTGTTCCCCCCCCCCAATAGCTAGCAATCCAAAACTGTCCAGTGGCACCTTTAAGACCAAGTTTTATGCAGGTACAAGCTCTCCCTCCTCTGTGAGGGCAGATCTGCACGTTCCCCCCCCCAATAGACAGCAATCCAAAACAGTCCAGTGGCGCCTGAGCGGTGGGTGTTGCCTTCTGACACACTTCCGGTGATGTCAGGGGGTGTGGCATATGCAAATAACCCCCGGAACTCTAGCAGTTAAAGGCGGTCAAGTGCGGGTTACAGTAGATGGCAAAGAGCGTTCATCATTGTGGAATGGAGACGGGTATCTCAGGCCGTGATCCTTGCTTTAGGGACGGGGCTATGAAAAGCCCTCCCCCCACGCCCCTCTGACCTGTTGGAAGCTACCTCACTATTGAGGCTCGGGGGGGTGTGTGTGTCACATCTCCTGATGCCAGTTTCCCATGATGTAACCCTTCCCAAGATCCTCACACTTTAAAGCAGAAATCCCAGTGCCCAGGTGTGTGTCAGCAGACACTGGAGCCAGTCTTGGGGCAGTTTTGGATCGGTCTGGTGGGAAAGCAACACAAAGCTGCTGTATACTGAATCAGACCATCAAGGTCAGTATTGTCTACTCAGGCAGGCAGCAGCTCTCCATGGTCTCAGGCTGAGGTCTTTCCCATCCCCTCCTGCCTGGTCCTTTTAACTGGAGATGCCGGGGACTGAACCTGGGACCTTCTGCATGCCGAGCAGAGGCTCTGCCACTGAGCCACGGCCCCTCTTGACAGCTCTCCAGGGTCTCAGGCTGAGGCCTTTCCCATCCCCTCCTGCCTGGCCCTTTTCAACTGGAGATGCCGGGGACTGAACCTGGGACCTCCTGCATGCCAAGCAGAGGCTCTGCCACTGAGCCACAGTCCCTCTTTACAGCTCTCCAGGGTCTCAGGCAGAGGTCTTTCCCATCACCTCCTGCCTGGCCCTTTTCAACTGGAGATGCCGGGGACTGAACCTGGGACCTCCTGCATGCCAAGCAGAGGCTCTGCCACTGAGCCACAGTCCCTCTTTACAGCTCTCCAGGGTCTCAGGCAGAGGTCTTTCCCATCACCTCCTGCCTGGCCCTTTTCAACTGGAGATGCCGGGGACTGAACCTGGGACCTCCTGCATGCCAAGCAGAGGCTCTGCCACTGAGCCACGGCCCCTCTTTACAGCTCTCCAGGGTCTCAGGCGGAGGTCTTTCCCATCCCCTCCTGCCTGGTCCTTTTATAACTGGAGATGCCGGGGACTGAACCTGGGACCTCCTGCATGCCAAGCAGAGGCTCTACACCACTGAGCCACGGCCCCTCTTGACAGCTCTCCAGGGTCTCAGGTGGAGGTCTTTCCCATCACCTCCTGCCTGGTTCTTTTCAACTGGAGATGCCGGGGACTGAACCTGGGACCTTCTGCGTGCCAAGCAGAGGCTCTACCACTGAGCCACGGCCCTTCTTTACAGCTCTCCAGGGTCTCAGGCAGAGGTCTTTCCCATCACCTCCTGCCTGGCCCTTTTTAAACTGGAGATGCCGGGGACAGAACTTGGGACCTCCTGCGTGCCAAGCAGAGGCTCTGCCACTGAGCCACGACGGCCCCTCCCCAGGACAAAGGCTGCCTGTTTGTGTAATGTGTAGAGTTAAAAAACGACAACTGTGTGTGGGGGGGGAATGATCTTCCTCTCCTGTATATCCAAAGAAAGGTTGGCCAGTTTGTCAGACGAGATGGTTTTCTGCTGGTGGGTGAAAGGGAAGGCAGGTGGGGGTAAGGACTAGTGAGTCTGAGTGGGGGGTCTTGCTGGCACCCCCCCCCCAAGTGTCTCCTGCAATGGTTCTCTTCATGATGTCAGGTAGCCCTGTCATGGATCTGGAATTTCTCAGCTCTTCCCTGTCCAGCTATTGTGCGCTATCTCCGGCTTGACCTTGTAGTCTCCAGCTGCAAATACTCTGCTGGGAAAGGAACGGCTTTTTGCTATCCCCGCTTACTCTCCTGCTTGTGCACGAACTATAATCATTGGCTTCAGCTCATGGGGGGGGGGGAATGTTTGATTTCACTATAGGTCAGGGGCCCTTATACTGAAGGCTATTCCTGACACAAGCTGTATATGTGATCATTAGTACTGGATCCATCAATAAACAGTTATCTTCTTATGAAGCCCTGTGTAGTGTGACCTGACTAGCGACCCCGACACATATCTGTTATGTATTGGGACTGAAACATTCCAGGACTGTTTCTACCAGAGACTGGCTGAGCTTGAAGCCCGAGAACAATAGCCCACCAGGACTCTGGAAGTGGCCAATGAGGAACGAATGGTTCTGACCGTGGCCTATCATTGGGAGTGGGGTGTGTTTGGGTGTGGGAATTGCATGCTATTTAAACAGGGCTGTGGCCCTGGAGTTGTCTTGTTCTTGCTGAAATCACTGAATAAAATAGAGCTGATCACTCGTAGTGGGGGGTCTGCTCCTCCATGGAATCCACTATTTAACAATATCTATTGTAGAGGCACATGGGGAGGCTGTGTGCTCTCTCCTAGTCCGTCTGTCCCGCAACTTCCCATCAGCCCCTTGTTGACACTGGCAAGCAACACAAGGGAAGGCAGAGATAACTTTCTTTATTTACTATGTTTACGCCATGCCATTCTCCTCAGTGGGGGTCCCAACGCAGCTGACATCATTCTCCTGTCCTCCATTTTCTCTTCACAACAACCCTGTGAAGTAGGTCTGTGACTGGCCCAAGGTCACCCGGCAAGCTTCCGCGGCAGAGAAGAGATTCGAACCCGTGCACCCCAGAGTCTAGTCCTGCTTATACAGCAGTGTGGTGGCCTTTGCCGGTCCCCTCGGCGGGTTCATTCCAAGCACGCCTTCCCTCCCCCGTGTGGACTCGAGGGTCAAGAGAGCTGAGCTTTGCACGGAGCCGATTGGCCGCGGCCCATGACGTCACCGAGTAACCTCCCCGGAGAAAGGTTTACATTTTTAATGGAATGTTTTCCCCTTTAAAAAGAAAAAAAAAACCGAGGAGAAGAGAGGAATAACAAAAGAATAAATGTGTTTGTTGTACATCTGGAAAGAATAAGAAAAGGTAACAGGGGGTAGTGAAGACTGACGTCGTTTGCGTTGCTGGTACAGCGGTGGTGTCGTTTCAGTTGTGACGCTGGGCTTGGCTGAGGGTTGCCAAGTCTGGGGAGGGAGATCCCTGGAGATTTGGGGGCGGGACTTCAACGGGGTACAAGGCCACACAGCCCACCCTCCAAAGCAACAGTTTCCTCCAGGGGAGCTGATCTCTGTCACCTGGAGATCTGTCGTAATTTCAAGAGATCTCCAGGCCCCGCCTGGAGGCTGGCAACCCTAACTCGGCCCTATCTTTATTTGGCACCCTAAGATCCTCCTGGCTAGCTCTTCCTAACCACAGAGCCTTCGTATCTGAAGCACCTTTAGAGGCCATCTAGCCTAAATCCCCCCTGTACAGAAATACTGATTTCTAAAAGTCTCCTGCCTTCTCCTGTGATGTCTTTCTGATAACATGCAGTGCCTTATTTCCTGTTGCAAGCCAAATGGTGGGCCAGATGGCCTGAACAACTTTATAACCCACATTCTTCACACGTCCATGCTAGAAGCTAGACTGTAAGGCTCCACACTAGGCCTCACATGAGTGTTGTCACGTAGGCAATGAAGAAGCTGTGGATTTTGGGTCACCTGGCTGCAGGAGGGGCTCCAAGCTTCTAGCCATTCCTGTGTTGCAGCTATGGCAACCAACAATTGGGCACACCCATGCCCACTCGCAATTGGCTGATGGCCACAGCTAATTTGTGACTGGAATTGGGCTACAATTAGCTCTCCCTTCCTCCTCTTGTCGTTGTCTGTTTTATGACACCTGGAAATGCTGTCTCTTGGAAAACAAAGAGTTGCTTTGTGAACTGGAGCACATGGTTGTGCAAAGATGGGATTTCTCCTCAAAATCCCCTGGTACTTGGACTATTTTGGACTGATGAAGGTTCCTGACTTAGTAACTATGAATCATTAATGTTTAGTTAAGGCAAACAGCCGTAGCCTTTGTTATTTTTGTAATCCCTGGTAGTCTATTGCTGTGCTCTGTACTGAATAAAGATCCTTTTTGTTGCTAATTTGGCTTTGATGTTGTAACTTGACTTCCAAGTCTAAGTCCTGTGCCTAAACGCTCACCATATATGCTACCATTGCAGAGTAAAGCGTGCATCTCTGAGCTAGAGTTGCTACTGTGTTAAATCCCAGATGCTAACTAAGGGCTGGAATCTCTCCCTTCGGAAATGCAGGGACTAGTGAAAAGAGGTTCTGGTGGCACATTGTTCTGAAGACCCGAGAGGGTATAGCCTATGGGTTTGTTGTTTAGTGTATTGAAAAGTAAAGGATTCCCTCCCATCCCTGGACTGGCCTGGGTGGGCTAATCCTGTACACACACACTCCTTTAGCTCAACACAGGAACTCCAAAGTTAAAACTTCAGCTTGGCTACAAACACGACTGAGCGGCTCAGGTGGGAATACGGTTCCCAGTGTTGGGAAATACCTGGAGATTTTTTTCTGGGGGTGGAGCTTGAGGTGGGTGGGGATTGAGGAGGGGAGGGACTTCAGTGTGTGTGGGGGTCAATGCCATAGAGCCCCACCTTCCAAACGGGCCATTTTTCTGCAGGGGAACTGATCTCTGTGGCCCGCAGGTCGGTTGTATTCCCAGGAGGTCTCCAGCCACCACCTGGAGGTTGGCAACCGTACCGGGAAAGGGAAAAGCCCATTCAGGGGCCCAAAAGGGGGGGGGGAGGAAATCCAAAGGTTAGCTCTGCCGCCTTTCCTGTAGTAACTGTGGCTGGATTCTCTGCCTGCAGGAATCCCACATATCTGCTTTGGACCCAGAGAAGAAGAAGAGGAGGAGGAGATTGCATTCATACCCTGCCCTTCACTACCCAAAGGTGCCTCAGAGCGGCTCACAAACTCCTTTCCCTTCCCCTCCCCACAACAGGCACCCTGTGAGGTAGGTGGGGCTGAGAGAGCTCTGACGGAAACTGCTCTTTTTCAAGGACAGCTCTTATCAGAGCTACGGCTTGCCCAAGGTCATCCAGCAGCTGCGAGTGGAGGAGTGGGGGAATTAAACCTGGTGCTCCCAGATTAGAGTCCGCGCACTTCACCACTACACCAAACTGGCTCTTCTGCACCAATCCCAAAGAGGAGGAGGAGAAAGAGGAGGAGGAGGAGGGGATTGGAAAAACCCACCTTTCAAAGCGGCCATTCCCTCCAGGGGGGGACTGACCTCTGTCACCTGGAGATAACTTGTGATGGAGGGAGAGCTCCAGCCGCCGCCTGGAGACTGGCAACCCTAGTTGAACGCTGCTGTATGCATGGCTCCCTCTAAGCTGTGTGAGTCTTGCGAGCAAAGATTCTACTTTGTGAGCGACCGGCATTCAAGTTGCGAGCCGGCGATTGGGCTGCGGCGTAAATTAGTTTGCCTCTGGAGCCCTCCTTCCTGAGCCAGGATGAAGATGTGTGAGCCGGAGGCTCAAAAACAGTGAGCTGGCTCACACTAGCTCCGCTTAGAGGGAGCACTGGTCATATGGACGCTCCCGTGTAATCTGAGAGCCTTCCTGCATTTTGTGCGTGGGGAAATCCAGCTCTCGCTAAACAGACAGGGTACATACCAAAGGATTAAAATGGGTCAGCTCGCCCTGGACGAAGACAGCGCTGCCCCCAACCGGAAGCTGGGAACTGCCACCATGTGGCAAGAACGCGTCAGAAAGAGAACACCTACTAGCACCTATAATAATATTCTTCATCATCACCATAAATCACGTTTTGACTGCCACCCTTCCTCTACGGCTGGCCTAGACCGGGTTCTCCCCTTCATACGACTCTCACAACAGCCCTGTGAGGTGGGTCAGGCCGAGAGATCACGTCTAGACCAAGGTCGTCCAGCGAGCTTTGTGACCGCTAGGGAGAATTTGAACCCTGACTCTCCCGTCACGGGCAAAGGCCCCTATCCCCGCATTGGCTTGACAAAACGGAAATGTGTTTCCCGCACTATCCTCTCGCCTTCTGAGGAGGGAGAAAAGAGGGAGAGAACTGATCCAAAGAAAGGGAAGAGTTGCCAACTGCAGAGTGCGTTTGAGGGGCGGCGGCAGGTCACCCCCCTCCCTCTACTCCTCCTTCCACAGACGTTTCTGTTCAGAATTGGGCGAGGGATACTCTTTGGGCTCCCAGGTCTCATCCAGCCGGAGGCGGAGCGTGTGGACCACCACCCTCTCCAGCAAGAGGGACCCGACAAACCACAAGGGGCAATACTCCAGGGTGATGAGACCCATGAAGTTGTGACGGTAGCCGCTGTAGTCCCAGGGGCAGGCGTTGAAGCAGCGCAGGATGTAGCCAATGCAGAACTCCCAAGCGTAGATGCAAAGGGTGTAGAGGAAGCCCCGGACCACGAGGTTACACCGGCACCGCAGACGGAGGTAGAGGTGTTCCAAGATCATGCCGAAAGTGCCGTAGATGAACAGGACCCAGACGCTGGCGACCCCCAGTAATCTCCAGTCCCAGTGCGCGAGGAGGTTGCACGTGGCTGTGAAGCCAATCTCTGCGAGGTAGCCGTGGAGGGCGTAGATGTACCACCGGCACAACGGGCTCAAGGGTTCGCCTGCGTTACCCATGACTGGCAACCTGCGTGGAGAAAGACAGGGGAGTGTTCATGCGTCATGATTAGCGTTTGGAACGGTGAATGGTTCGCTCTGATATACAAATGCTACAAAAAAAACCCCCAAACACCCCCCATTTCTTCAGCACCATGCTCGGCTTGTGCGTGATTTTCTGCCATCGGGGCTTGGCTAATATTATTGTGCATCCTAGAGCAATGTTCCAACACATGCAGGGCTATTTTGGGGCAGGAACGCCCAGGAACGGAGTTCCGGCTGGCTCCCAAGTTGGCCACGCCCAGCAGGAGCTCATTAGCATAACAGGCCACACCCAACAGCAGAAACTCATCAGGATTGGCTACATTAGGGGTGTGTGGCCTAAAATGCAAAGGGGTTCCTGCTCCAAAAAAAGGCCCTGGGTTTTGACAACAAACAAGGTTAACAGAATAAGAAGCAAAAGGTGGGTGTGGCTGGATGACCACACTTCTGGTAACATGGGGGTGCGGCCTAATGTGCTAATGAGCTGTGCTGGCAGGGGTGTGGCCTAATAGGCTAATGAGTTCCTGCTGTTGGGTGTGGCCTATTATGCTAATGAGTTCCTGCTGGGCTTTTTCTACAAAAAGAGCCCTGAATGTGTACAGATAGAACGTGCAGATATGCCCATATATAAGAGCCCACAGGGGCAGCGGCCACACCTAATTTTTACGATCCTCAAAAACCTCCCCTTTTATCAGGAATTTGCAGGCTGCACATTTCCCGCACCTGTGAAAACCTCTAATTGTGTAACTGCCCCTGGAACTTAAAGGAGCAACATCGACTTTGACCAACAAATGTCTAAGATTGCAATCTCTCCTGAATCCAATGTGGCTGTTGTGGGGAGGGGGAGGGAAGCTCCTCTGAGACTCTTTCGGGTAATAAAGGCCAGGGTATAAATCCAATCTCCTCCTCCTTAACTTTAATGGTCTAATCAATAAAAAAAGATCCTTCCTGGTAATGAATGCATCATATTTACTGGTTGGTACTGTCTAAACAATAAAAAAAAGATCCTTCCTGGTGGTGAATGCATCAGATTTACTGGTTGGTAGTCTCAAGTGGCTCAAGTGGTTAAGACGCTGAACTGCAGGCTGTGGAAGGTCGGTAGTTCAGGAGTTCGAGACCCGAGTGTGCCGCATGACGGAGTGAGCTCCCGTCTCTAGTTCCAGCTCCTGCCAACCTAGCAGTTCGAAAGCAAGAAATTGCAAGTAGATCAGTAGGCACCACTTCGATGGGAAGGTAACAGCGTTCCGTGCGCCTTGGTGCTTAGTCATGCCGGCCACATGACCACGGAAACGTCTTCGGACAGCGCTGGCTCTTCGGCTTGGAAACGGAGATGAGCACCGCAACCCTAGAGTTGGATTTGACTGGCTTTCGAGCAAGGGAACCTTTACCTTTATTGTCTAAACAATAAATAAAAGATCCTTCCCGGTAGTAAATACATCATGTTTACTCGTTAGTACTGTTTAATCCATAAAAAAGATACTCCCTGGTAATAAATGCATCATATTTACTGGATAGTACTGTTTAATCGATAAAAAAGATCCTTCCTGGTAGATTTACTGGCTGGTACTGTCTAATTAAAAAAAAAAGATCCTTCCTGGTAATAAAAGAAGCAAAGAAGAAGAGATTGGATTTATACCCTGCCTTTCACTACCCAAAGGAGTCTCAGAGCGGCTCACAAACTCCTTTCCCTTCCTCTCCCCACAACAGACAGACACCCTGTGAGGTGGGCAGGGCTGAGAGAGCTCTGACAGAAACTGCTCTTTTTCAAGGACAGCTCTTATCAGAACTATGGCTTGCCCAAGGTCATCCAGCAGGTGCAAGTGGAGGAGTGGGGAATCAAACCCGGCTCCGCCAGATTAGAGTCTGCGCTCTTAACCACTACACCAAACAGCATCACATTTACTGGTTGGTACTGTCTAATCAATTAAAAAAGATCCTTCTTGGTAATAAAAGGGCTCTGTCTCTGTCCTTCATTGGCGTCAGGATTCTTGGATCTGGTGGGAGGGGGCCCATTCTGGAGCCTCCACCGGTATGTCCATGCTAGCCAAAACCTACCCTGGCTGGCTGGACTTCTCTCCCTGCAGCTAAGCCCTGGTATGGAGTGGAACTGAGTGTCCTTAGCAGGGGTCATTTCCTACGGAAGCACACAGGAGCGGAGCTCCAGCAGTAAGGAGCCCAGGGGGCGGGCACATGCAACAAGCCCCGCCCCCTGCTCCCAGCAGCCCTCAGTCAGAGCAAGAAGCAGCCAGGTAAGCTGCAGAGCGCCCCCCTGGCCCCCCCGGTCCAAAACAGTCCAGTGGCACCTTTAAGACCAAGTTTTATTCAGGTACAAGCTCTCCCTCCTCTGCGAGGACAGATCTGCACATCCCCCCCCCCATAGTTAGCAATCCAAAACAGTCCAGTGGCGCCTGAGCGGTGGGGGTTGCCTTCTGACACACTCCCGGTGATGTCAGGGGGTGTGGCCTATGCAAATAAGTTATGCTAATGCGTTATGCTAATGAGCTCCTGCATCTCTTTTTCTATGAAATGACCCCTGGTCCTTTGGATACGCAGAGACGGCCTCATGTCACTGAATGACACAGGGGGCAAAACAGAACTCTGTGGGCCCCCGTAGCTTCACAGCTATGCGCATAAGCAAGCATTCTCCCCCAGTGCCACCTTTTGGATTTGTGTCGCCAGGTTGGATCAGAACTGCTGGGAGGGTTTGCCCCCCAGGACTCAACCCAGAAAGCTTCCCTGGGAGGAAGACGCAAGGTTTTGCTCTGAGATCCAAAACACTCACAGGGTCAGTCCCTCTTTCTTTGGTCCGGACGTGCCTTGGACCGGGACCTGGCAGGTCAGTTTCTCTCTTTCGCTCTCACCTCTTCCCAGGGCTCTTTTTGGGCAGGAACGCACAGGAACGGAGTTCCGGCTGGCTCCCGAGTCGGCCACGCCCAGCAGGAACTCATTAGCATAATAGGCCACACCCAACAGCAGACACTCATTAGGATTGGCTACATTAGGTGTGTGTGGCCTAACATGCAAAGGAGTTCCTGCTCCAAAAAAAAAGGCCCTGGGTTTTGACAACAAACAAGGTAAGCAGAATAAGAAGCAAAAGGTGGGTGTGGATGGATGACCACACTTCTGGCAACATGGGGGTGTGGCCTAATGTGCTAATGTGGCCTATTATGCTAATAAGTTCCTGCTGGGCTTTTTCTACCAAAAAAGCCCTGCCTCTTCTGAATCCCGCATTTGCTGAATTCTGCGTTCGCTAATTTCGCAACTGGTAACCTAGCCAACCTAGCAGTTCGGAAGCAAGAAGTTGCAAGTAGATAAATAGGTACCGCCAGGGGTCATTTTGTAGAAAAAGAGGTGCAGGAGCTCATAGGATAACTCATTAGCATCTTTTTTGCATATGCCACACCCATGACTGTCTTGGACGGGGGGGGGGGCAGGGAATACTGTAACCTGAATTGTCTTGTAAAGGTAAAGGTTTCGCCTTGCTCGAAAGCCAGTCGAATCAGACTCTAGGGCTGCGGTGCTCATCTCCGTTTCCAAGCCAAAGAGCCAGCGCTGTCAGAGGACTTCTCCGCGGTCATGTGGCCGGCATGACTAGACGCCGAGGCGCACAGAACGCTGTTACCTTCCCACCGAAGCGGTACCTATTTATCTACTTGCAATTACTGGACTTATATGTAGCTATGAATACCAGAGGACTCCTGGTAAGGTCACCTAGTTCTAATTAGTTGAATTCCAGCCAGGGGTGTGTTCTTCGGAAGTGAGCTTCCCTCCTCTCTGATCCGCCTGTGTCCAAACACAGTGGCGTCTCCTTCCCGATACCATCTGAATGTTTTCAGCCCTTCCCCCGTGACCAGTGTTCCCTCTAAGCTGAGTTAGTGTGAGCTAGCTCACAGTTTTTTAGCCTCCGGCTCACACATTTTTGTCTTGGCTCAGGAAGGAGGTGGCTCCAGAGCAAACTAATTTATGCAGGAGCCAAATCGCTCGCTCACAACTTTAATGCCAGTAGCTCACAAGGTAGAATTTTTGCTCACAAGACTCCACAGCTTAGAGGGAACATTGCCCGTGACCCAGACAGCTAGAAACTAAATCGAGATTTGTTTTACGTCAAGGTGTTTTAGGGATTCAGGTTATTCGTTTTGGGGCGTAGCTGCGAAAAAAGGCAAAGGTGGGTCTCCAACCGGACAGCAGAACTGCTCTATAAACCAGATAAAGGAAGTTTCGAGACCTTGGTCGGCATATTCTTTCCGAACCAGTGTGTTGTAGCAGTTAAGAGTGTCGGACTAGTATCTGGAAGACCTGTATGGCTCAGGCTAGCCCAATCTCGTCAGCTCTCGGAAGCTAAGCAGGGTCCGCCCTGGCTAGTATTTGGAAGGGAGACCTCCAAGGAATACCAGGGTCGGGCGGCAGAGGCAGGCAATGGCAAACCACCTCTGAAACATCTCTCGCCTTAAAAACAAGCCTAGCTCGCCACCTACTGGTGCCTAACTCTAAAAAAGAGCTAGGACTTCTGGCTGCCAGATGATCTTAGCATCTCATAGCTATTCTGCACCAATGTCCCCTCTATGCTGTGGAGTCTTGTGAGCAAAAATTCTACTTTGTGAGCTACCGGCATTAAAGTTGTGAGTGAGCGATTGGGCTGCTGCATCGATTAGTTTGCTCTGGAGCCCTCCCTCCTGAGCAGAGACAAAAATCTGTGAGCCGGAGGCTAAAAAACTGTGAGCCGGCTCACCCGAACTCAGCTGAGAGGGAACACTGCTCTGGAGCCCTCCTCCCTGAGCGAAGATAAAAATGTGTGAGCCGGAGGCTAAAAAACGGTGAGCTAGCTCACACCAACTCAGCTGAGAGGGAACATTGTTCTACACACGTGCCATGCGATAATCAATTAATTTAGCAACTGACTTGAGATTTGTTTTTAAGTCAAGGTGTTTTAGGAATTCAGATTCAGCTGCGAAAAAAGACAAAGGTGCGTCTCCAACCGGACAGCGGAACTTCTTTATCAACCAGATAAAAGACGGTTCAGGCTCTTCGCCAGCATACCCTTTCAGAGCCAGCGTGTTGTAGCAGTGAAGAGTGTCGGACTAGTATCTGGGCGACCCGGATTCGAGTCTCCCCGCTCGTACCATGGAAGCTCGCTGGGTGACCTCGGGCCAGTCACACACTGTCCGCCCAACCTACCTCACAGGGTTGTTGTGAGGATAAAACGAAGGAGGGAAGGTTGATGTAAGCTGCCTGGAGGAGGATGGACGTCACCTTGGGTACCCGTTGGGGTACAGACAAAGTTTTAAAAAGTAAATAAATACCACTTAAAAGCATCCTTCTCTTCCATGCCTGCCAAGTTCCCTGGAAAGGCAGATTTGGTCATCTGACAGCCATGCGGATTCTGTGAATGTAGGCAGATCACAAGAAGGGAGGGCAGGAAGGGTTGCCTCAGTGCTCAGTTCTCCTGGCCCCTTTCTTACACACCCAGGGAAACGCTGATCGCCACTTTGGGGTCAGGAAACCATTTTTTCTCCAGGCCAGTTTGGCTGGAGATCCTGGAGGGGTTTTCTTTTTGGTCATCTTCTGGGCATGGAATTGGGGTCGCTGGGGGTGTGTGGAGGGGGGAGTAGTTGTGAATTTCCTGCATTGGGCTGGAGGTTGGACTAGATTACCCTGGAGGTCCCTTCCAACTCTATGATTCTAAGATTCTATTAATCCCCCCCCCCAACAAAGACAGGATTCTTTAAGGCTGTAGGCCCATTTTGTGAAAGGGGGGGGGGGAATGTCCAAGGGAAAAGTGTTGAACATGGTTGATCCAAATGTTAGAGTGAACAGTGAATGATGTTTGTATGTGCATGAATAATGACTTACAGGTTAGACCTCGAGAAAGGGGTGTTGGAAATATGCGTGTTGCAAGGTCTAAGATTCAGTCACTATAGGGTTAATCTGTTTACCTTGTGTGCTATTGTTTAGACTGACCTGGAAGGGAAACCTGGCGCAAAGGAAACAAAGCTCGGGAAATCTAAGTCTGTTTACTAGCAATCCTTGGTTAATGTATTCAGGTGATTTCCTTCTAGGGGTCAAGAAGAAGAAGAATCTCCATTACAGTTGTTGTGGTAGACCGTGTGGTCAGTCTGTAAAGATGTCAAGATGTAGTCTTAGGTGTCTTTGTTGTTTTGTAGATTTCCCTGTGAACCCTTCCCTTAGAAATAAAGATTTTTACACAGAAAGAAATGCCGCCTCTCCAGTGAAGCAAAGATCCATTGCAAACTTTGGGACTCCGGGACCTCTGTTTCTTGGCCCTTGAGAATGGGATTTCTCTCTCCCCCCACCCAACCCACATGCACGCATCAACCCAGAAACCTGATCTTATTGAACTAAAAAACAAAAAGGAGGCCCAAACTCTTAGGTTCCTGGATCCACTCCCAAAATGCTGAGCTGTCACAATCTGAACTCCAAGGACCGGTTTGTGGTTTTAAGTGAGCTTAATCGACTTTCTTTGTATCGTTCCAGATCTGTTGTTCGTAGAAAGGGCTCCACTAGACTTATTTCTCAAGTAATCTTCCACGGACCTCAGAGCAGCGTCTGTGATCCTCCCCCCCTTTTCGCCCTCACAACAACCCTGCAAGGTGGGCTAGACTAGGTGAAGAGTAACCAGGTGGAGAGTTATCCAGCAAGTTTTAAGGGGACAGTGGAATTGGAACCCAGATCTCCTAGACGGTTAGTCTGACACTGTGGCCGCTATGCCACGCTGCCTCTCCACCTGAAGGCACGCCTAGTTCCCAAAAGCTGCCCAGAGGCTTCTGTTTGGCTCCTGGGAACCGGGCACAGCTAGACTACTGTAATGTGCCGTGCGTAGGGCTGCCGTGGAGAAGGAGAAACTGCACCCAGGCCCAAGTGAGGATGGGCCACGGTATCAATTTAGGACTTTAAAAAATAACCCACCACGAAAGCAGCTAACGATAAGACACAAAGGGTAATTAAAATGCAGGGGGGGAAATGTTTCTTGACTGGATTCTCTCTGCCCAGTAAGCTGATTGTACTGCAGGATCGACTTTCGCTTCCAGGACATTATTCGGTCCCATTCGACATGCTGGTTTTGACCGAGAAAAGTCTAAACTAGAGGCGGGCAGATCTGGAGCGCGTCTGGCCTGCGAGAGGTTTTCCTTGTCCCTCAGTTTGACAGGATCATCGGCGCATGGGACTGAAGCACTATTTAGCAGGATGACGTTCCCGAAAAACTGGGGAACGGCTCACGGGATGCTAAAAGCGGCAGAATCGGGGAGAAGCGGCCACAGCCGGCTCTCTGCCCGCTTTGGAGGGCGCCAAGTCGGACGCTGGAAAACAGGAGGAGCCAGCGCCCGACTTGGCGTCTTTCAAAGCAGGCGGAGAGCTGGGTGTGTCCCTTGGGATGGGAAATGTGCCCATCTGGGCCCCGGGTATTGGGCGGCCTCTTCTCCTAACAGCCGGATGCCAGATCCCCGCTCAGGGTACATCTGCCAACCCACCTCTTCCGACTGTCCTTCTGCGGGAGATTTTTCCGGCCTCTTTCCAGACTGGAATCTGGGGCCATGCCGAGCCTGCGACAAAGTTCTCTGCACTTTCTTGTTCCCGTTTCAAATTTGCCATGGAGCATTTCCTTTCCCAGCCCTCCAGATGTTGTTCCTGTTGCCTTGGTTTCGAGGAACCCAGGTCTGCAAAGACTGTAATCCGCACCCCGTCTTTGTAACGCTAACGCTATCTTATAATTTGTCTGCAGCAACCATAGTTTTCAGTGCTGCTGCCAGTTTATCGGTATGATTTCTACCAGCATGAGCCACCCTGGGCAATGTGTCGTCGTTAAAACAGGATTCAGAAAACTGGAGTTCCCAGGTAGTCTGCCTTCAAAACTGGAGGTTTCATTCATCTGATTAATTGCTATGAACTGGGCTCTTGGGTCTGTGGCTCAGTGGTACAGTTTGCAGAAGGTCGCAGGTGCAGTCCCCGGCATCTCCAGTTAAAAGGGCCAGGCAGGAGGTGATGGGAAAGACCTCCGCCTGAGACCCTGGAGAGCTCTAAAGAGGGGCCATGGCTCAGTGATAGAGCATCTTGCTTGACATGCAGAAGGTCCCTGTTCAATCCCCGGCATCTCCAGTTCAAAAGGACCAGGCAGGAGGTGATGGGAAAGACCTCCGCCTGAGACCCTGGAGAGCTGCAAAGAGGAGCCGTGGCTCAGTGGAAGAGCCTCTGCTTGGCATGCAGAAGGTCCCAGGTGCAGTCCCCGGCATCTCCAGTTAAAAGGACTAGGCAGGAGGTGGTGGGAAAGACCTCCGCCTGAGACCCTGGAGAGCTGTCAAGAGGGGCCGTGGCTCAGTGGAAGAGCCTCTGCTTGGCATGCAGGAGGTCCCAGGTTCAATCCCTACCATCTCCAGTTAAAAAGGACCAGGCAGGAGGTGGTGGGAAAGACCTCTGCCTGAGACCCTGGAGAGCTGTCAAGAGGGGCTGTGGCTCAGTGGAAGAGCCTCTGCTTGGCATGCAGAAGGTCCCAGGTGCAGTCCCTGGCATCTCCAGTTAAAAGGACTAGGCAGGAGGTGGTGGGAAAGACCTCCGCCTGAGACCCTGGAGAGCTGTCAAGAGGGGCCGTGGCTCAGTGGGGATTCAGAAAACTGGAGTTCCCAGGTAGACTGCCTTCAAAACTGGAGGTTTCGTTCGTCTGATTAATTGCTATGAACCGTGCTTTTGGGTCTGTGGCTCAGTGGTAGAGCTTGCAGAAGGTCCCAGGTGCAGTCCCCGGCATCTCCAGTTCAAAGGGTCAGGCAGCAGGTGACGTGAAAGACCTCCGCCTGAGACCCTGGAGAGCTGTCAAGAGGGGCTGTGGCTCAGTGGCAGAGCCTCTGCTTAGCATGCAGAAGGTCCCAGGTTCCATCCCCGGCATCTCTAGTAGAAAAGGACCAGGCAGGAGGTGACGGGAAAGACCTCCGCCTGAGACCCTGGAGAGCTCTACAGAGGGGCCGTGGCTCAGTGGAAGAGCCTCTGCCTGGCATGCAGAAGGTCCCAGGTTCAATCCCCAGCATCTCCAGTTAAAAAGGACCAGGCAGGAGGTGACGGGAAAGACCTACGCCTGAGACCCTGGAGAGCTCTACAGAGGGGCCGTGGCTCAGTGGAAGAGCCTCTACTTAGCATGCAGAAGGTCCCAGGTTCAATCCCCAGCATCTCCAGTTAAAAAGGACCAGGCAGGAGGTGATGGGAAAGACCTCCGCCTGAGACCCTGGAGAGCTCTACAGAGGGGCCGTGGCTCAGTGGAAGAGCCTCTGCTTGGCATGCAGAAGGTCCAAGGTTCCATCCCCGGCATCTCTAGTAGAAAAGGACCAGGCAGGAGGTGATGGGAAAGACCTCCGCCTGAGACCCTGGAGAGCTGCTGCCAGTCTGAGTAGACAATACTGACCTTGATGGACCAAGGGTCTGATTCGGTAAAAGGGAGATTCATGTGTTTTGTCCTCCATCCTGCCCTGAGGACTTCCATGCACACACAAGAGACACTCAAATACTTCTTGAGTGTTATGCAAAGATGCTAAATCATTTCATCCTTTGCAATTGGGAGAACCCTTCCAAGCAGTGCTCCCTCTAAGCTGAGTTAGTGTGAGCTAGGTTACGGTTGTTTAGCCTCCGGCTCGCACATTTTTTTTCGCTCGGGAAGGATGGCGCCAGAGCAAACCAGTTTAATGCCGCAGCCAGATCTCTCGCTCACAGCTTTAATACCAGTCGCTCACAAGGTAGAATGTTTGCTCACAAGACTCCGCAGCTTAGAGGGAGCGTTATGCTTCCGAGGTATTATAAACCCGCTCTCCAGCCTACCTCCGCCACAAACCAAAGTGAGGGACTCACCTCCGAATTGCTGCTTGCCTTTCTCCTTTCTCCTGCCCACGACTGTGGCCTCCCAGGAACAAGCGGGTCACCAAACCCAGCAGATTCTCACAAGCCTCTTCTCAAGCTCGGGGAAGGGAGCGGTGCGCAGTGGGTGCAGCAGCGCAGGCTGAACTCCTGGACTCCGCTTCCAGATGCTGTCCCTTTTGGCAGGTGGCAGGGATGCTGACAGAGGGTTCCTCCCACCTGTTTGGCGGCTGAGTCACTTCCTCAGTTTCCCCGCCGTCACGGGAGCAAACATACCTCGAGCCGCCCGGGGCAATGCGGCGTTGTGCTGAGAACGGCCATTCTGGGCTCTACTCCGCTCCGTCCTTTTCGCCTCTTTGCACAACAGAGGCATGTTTGGAACTCGGGACAGAAAACTCAGTTCATCTCAGGTCTGACTCAGAAACCAGCCGCAGCTTGGAAAGAGCCGAGCCCTGAACACAATCGGCAGCTCAGTGTCTCGGGAGAGGCTGCCGGCCGTGCCCTGTCCCTCGGTGGTGAGGGAAAGGCTGTCTGCACCTGCTCAGAAGTACTCTGTTCTTTGGCATGACTTCGGGCTAATTGGGGCTACACGCTCCAGATCCTGGGATCCCGCCAAACCGGATTTGTTCTTGATTTGGCATATAATTCGGCTCTTACGGGCTCCTACTGGCAATAGATTTTTATCTCCTGGCCTTTCTTTTTTCTTTTCTTTTTTCCCTGTTTGTGCAACAGGTTCCTCCGCTGCAACCTAGCATTTTGCCCCAGGGGTTGTCGAGTTGGCACCTTTCTCTCCTCCCGGATCTCTCTGATGTCTGCACTGGTAAACAGGGTGCCGGGTTCCAGAGAGGCCTCTTTTCTTAGAGACCGGCTCATCTTCTCCTGCTAACAAGGCTCCCATGGGCCGCCGAAGGTTATTTTAGCTTTTTGGGGGAGTTCCAGTGGGGAAGCAGGGGCCCTACGCCAAGGAAACAAACGAACCAGGAGGCCTCTGGGGGGGGGAAAGAATTCGAGCTGAAGTGTGTGTACAGAGGGTTTTTTTTGTCAAAATGTTCTGCTTCTGCCTGTGATATCTGGGTCATAGATCCAGAGGAGTGAGCCGGGTTAGCCTGTGGCTGCCAAATCGCAAAAAGCCCAGCAGCACCTGTAAGACTGACAAGCTTTATGGTAGCGCAAGCTTTCGAGAAACACCGCTTTCTTCGTCTGACGAAGAGAGCTGTGTTTCTCGAAAGCTTGTGCTACAATAAAGTCTGTTTGTCTTAAAGGTGCTACTGGGCTTTTTACTACTGTGGTACCTCGGTGTGTTTTTGTTTTCTGAATATAGCTGAAATCTAAAATAATCTAGGATAGGGAGAAGGGTGTGTGTGCAAAACCGATTCAAATTTTGCGGAATCGTTGTTGACGTTGAAATTGGGGCAGGTTCGTCCCCCTCCCCTCTGTCTGCTTGATTCATTTGCATCATTTAAACCCCGACTTTCTCTCCAATGGGGACCCAAAGCCAATTACAGCGTCCTCCTCTTTCTTCCGTTTCACAACAGCCTTGCAGGGTAGGTTAGGCTGAAAGTGTGTCACTGGCCTAAGGTCACCCAGCAAGCTTCCGTGGCAGTGTAAGGAGATTAGAATCTGGCTCTCCCCGATCCGAATCCAATACTCCCTACCCACTACGCCACGCCAGTTCAAGAAATAGTTCCCAACTGGATTAAAATAATAAATTAAGTTAGTATGAGATGTTCTTGTTAGTAACCTCCAAAGCGCTGCCAGAAGGGAGAGGTTCTAAATTGGCTTGTGAAGATCCAAAATAAGGTGGAGGGAGGGATCCCCATTCAAATCCCACGGAGCGACTCCCTGAATATCTTCCAAAAAGGCACTAGTCCAGGGGTGTCAAACAAGCGGCCCGGGGGCCAAATCAGGCCCCCAGAGGGTTTCTATCAGGCCCGCAGTGGAACTGGCTGTCTCCTGCTTCCTCTTCCAGTTCTGCTGCTTCCGCTGCTGCGTCATCGTAGATTTGCAGCTTACAGATACGCACCTGGACAGCATACTCAAGATTGCAACGGCACATACATTTTGAGGCAATAATTCAGAGCAAGAGGTGTCAGTTATCAGACACTGTTAAATAAACAAAATATTGCAAGAGTGCTGATGTTTTAAGCATGTTTTTATTTTAAGTAAAAAAAAACACCCAAAACTTTGTGTTTGTGTCCTTTATAAAGTTTATATCTCCGCTACCTGGCATTACATTTTATGACACACGTGGCCCGGCCCAACAAGGTCTCACTTATGTCAGATCCAGCCCTCATAACCAATGAGTTCGGCACCCTTGCTCTAGTATCTCCTCCGCCTACCTTATCCTGCCTGCAATACCGCTACCAAAAGCCCATGCAGGGAAAGGTGGAGAACGAATGTTTTCGGATATATATTTAAACAAACACAGGCGATCGCGCTGGCCTACCTTGCAGGACAGTTGTGAACAAGGTGGCAGACGCTCAACGTTTTGAGCACCGCGTAAGGGTTCTATCTGCACCCAGCCCTCCCCTTCAAAGAAAAAAAGGGGTAAAGAACGCCGGAGAAACACACCCAACGTTTTGGACTTGAATAAGTAGCTATCTCCCATCTCAACCCCACGGTCTGCTCAAAAGAAAGGGATTCACAGGAGCGTGTAATCAAAGAGCGAGAACCTTAAAGACAAACAAGATTTCCAGGTTTTCCGCTTTCTAGAGTCAACGCTGCCATGGTCAGATACCATCAACGTGTTCCATCTGCTTCGTTGGCAGCAGTAATCTCCATAATCCATAATCAAACAGCCCTGTGGGGTAGGCCAAAGTCACCTGTCTGGGCCCTTCCTTTCGACACCCTCCATCTTTCCTCTTCCCCTGTTCTAAATGCGGCCAGGAAAGGGGGGTGGG